TCTCTCCCTCTCCTCTCTCCCTCTCTCTCTCACACACACACACACACACACACGCTCACCTTCGCACGACAGGCCAACGAGCTGCAAGGCAGCGAGCCCCAAGGCAGCAAACTCGAAGGCAAGCTCCAACTAGCGATCTTGACGAGACTGACCGCTGCAGCATTTTCAGTGGCCTGCTGCAAGGGCGTCACAGAAAGATGCATGCCCCTCATGAGGGCATTTCGAGGAGGTACCGAGGAAACGCCACCCGCGGTCCGGTAAGGGCATAGCGGAAAGTTGTGCCCCATGCTGACAGGGGCCTGCAGAAAACTTCAGAGGCCCCAGGGGCACAACAGGGTAAGTCGTCCTTCAGAGGGGCACGCGGCAAATAATCAAAATTTCAGGGGCATCTCGGATTTTATTATTATTATTATTATTATTATTTTTTAACAAAAAACAGGGCCTTATGGTCCAAGCTCCTTCTATTCTGGGGAGCGTCAGTCCGGTTCCTATTCCACCGGCAAGTCAAAATAACCATTACATCAAAAACACTTACACACGCTTCCTTCCGTCAGGCCGAAGGATCCCTGAACAGCATTGATTGCTCCACCGCGGTGGAGGATTGACTGTCAGCTTGCCCTGTCCCACTCTTTCTTCTCAGGCCTGGGGTTCAGGTCTGCCAGATAGCGCCATTGTCCCTAGAAAGAGCTCATCCGATAATCTTGCCGGCCTGTATCTTCCCCACGCACCTCCCTGCCCTTTTGGAAGATCTATTATAAACCCTAAACCCTAGACCCTTCGCCTGTGCGCCCGACCTCCAATAGTCGAATTTATACATTGACTGGCATTGATTTAGCTTCCGGCCCCCTGCGATAAAGTCTTCCTTTGTAACCCGCGTTCATGCTCCCGTATTTTCCCTTAGTCAAACTAGTCCTTCTCTCTCCCTTGTTTCCTCTTTGTTCGTGCCCCCTTGGCCCTTGATGGGCCGCTTACATTCTGTTGAGGCCTAGGATGTGAATATGCCCTCAGACGTTGTCTGCTGTCGAAAGCCTCTTCTGGTACTGAATTGTGCCACTCCCTCCAGCATACTCGGTCCTCTCGCAATTCTGCAATCTTGCCATTTATCAGCCAGTTCCTGTAGAATCTCTGCCTCTCCTTGTTACGTTGCTCTCCGTCTTCTGTCCAAGCTTGTTTGGTCTTCCGCCATCTGCAGAGAATCTCAGCTTGTATCAAAGTTCTGGTTTCTATCCACACCTTCTCCCGTGGGTTAGACCGCCCCTCAATTGTCCTGCTGCATCTCTCCTTCCATATGACCCATGGGGTCACTTTCCTGATGAGTTCAAACCAGATCCTTTCTGCCTTTTGCGCCTGATCAGGGATGTTAGTCAAAAAAAAAGAAAAAAAGAAAAAGACTGAAACAAGATCGATTAATGACGGACTAAATTAGTGATGGGAGTGCCACTCTTGTACTCCAACTGCCGGTGGTGGTTTTTATTCTGTCTATATTAAATTTAGAACCATAGCCATGTGTAGCTGGAGATAAGTGCGCATCTGGAAAACAAAATGATAAGGCTTGTAGAAGTAAATACCTATTAGTAGGGCCTCGCCACACCTATCCCGAAAACACCGATTTGGAGAGGAAATGCATCGCCATACCAACTCCCGAAAATCGGTGTCAGAAAAATTTTTGAGAGTGGCCAGAACGCGAGTTTCAGGAGTGCTCGCGAACTGTGGTCGTTGCCCCACCTGCAAAGTTGCCACTTTCGAGAGTGGTCGAAGGCACCTCCGATTTTGCCCCAAATTTCGAGAGTGCGCCGCGACGGACAACCTTCTGCGGCCAGCGTTTTATCGTGTTTGGTTAGAGAGACTCTCGAACCGAGGCCTCGGTCCACTACTCACCACATGCACAAAAGACAAAAAATCTGGCGCTGTATCTTTCCATGGTCTAGCAGAAGATTCATTCTCATTTTGCACATTTGGTGAGTAGTGGAGCAAGGCCCTTGCACCGCCACACTGCACTCTCGAAAACGCAGTTCTTTTCCGACACAGTGGAGAGCGCCCCCTTCGAGAGCGCAGTGCGGCGATGAGGCCTCTCCATCCGTTTTTCGCGATTTCCCGAGTTCGAGAGCGCTCTTGAACATTTTCCCGTTTTCGGGATAGGTGTGGCGAGGCCCGTAGTCTGCATACAACTGCAAAACAGACACCGTAAAACTGAGGGATCTGGTCAAATGATGCAAGAGTTTATATTTCATTGACTCGTTGGACAGTTGGGAGCTCAGTGGGAGAGAAACCTCTCGTTAATTTATAGAAGTGATTGACACACAACATGGCTCAGTGAATTGATTCTAGGAAGGCAGTCTCATCAGATGGTTCTGAATGCGTGGACCGTGAGGCGGTCATCTTTCCTTCGTTTTTTTTTAAAACCAATCCGGCAGTGTCACACTTTCAGTTTCGGGAGGGCAAAAAAAACACGTGTGGGCAACAACATCGGGTGCGGCATTTGAAAAGGGCAATATCGGTACAAATGGGTGTGACCCCCATGTGATTTTGTTGCCCTTTTCAAACTCGGCGTGTGGGTAAAAATGCGTCCGTTGCTCTCTCAAACTCGGACCGCGAGTTTGTTGCCCGCGTGTGATTTTGTTGCCCTCTCCAAACTCGTTTGTGCACAACTGAACCTACGCCTTTTTGGTTTCCCCAAGCAAACGCTCTGTCATAAAGGAGTTCATGAGACTGGGGTCCTGACGATTCTACCCGGAAAAGTACGGGGACCATTACCCAGCGTCAGCTTGTTTTGAAAATGAGACTCAGGGCATACTCACGCGGGGACCTAAAGTCACATATATCTGGGGCGTTTGGTACCATGTATTTGTGCCTTTGGGTGCCCGCACGGTCACACACGAGTCCTGTGTCCACAAAGGACAGAGTCGTGGCCCTGACATTTGTACCTCACAGAACTGCAGGTAGTCACACTGGTTACTCCCAAAAATATGTAGAGTTTCTTTTTTTTTTTGAATGCTGAAATAACACGCACGGGTGTTTTGCTCATGCACAAATTTCTTGAAATACCTCACGGAGAAATAAAAAATCGACAAGGTAATTTGAGACCACCTCTGGAGGTGGTCTCAAAAAGGGTCCTCCTGCGTCAAATTTTGGGATTTAAGGTCATCAGGTCCCCATGCGAGTATGCCCTCAGACATCATCATCCCCAACTGAAGGTACCAGATACTCCGTCGGACTGAGTCCACCTGTCACCCACCCCCATCTTTTTCCTTGTTCTTTGTTTGAAAAACTATTGGTCCAAGCTGGTAGAGGGGGGAAGGATACGAGCCCCTTCGTCTAGTAGGCCAGCTTCCAGTTGCTCAAGTCCATTGGTGGGGAGCCGCACTGGCTGGAAATCGGGTGCAGAGTCCCTGGTTCACTGAAGGAATGATAATATCTGATCCGGATTACAGGGGCCACCTCCATCTAAAGTCCAAAAATTGAAGCTAGTGGCAGAACAGTTTGGCTATCTAGTCTTGGTGTGCCAGTGATCGACCCTTCTCTGCGGGGAGCAATCAATGCTGCCCGGCCTCTTAGTATTTCAGATTAGAATAGGCCGGCGAGGGGGTGGCATCTTTTCTTGCATGGACTGAATGTGTTTTCATGGGATGCTGGACCCGGTTTCCAGGAGGTGCTGATCCTCATCTATAGATCAAGCAATTCAGTTTCCCAAAAAAAAGGAAAAAGAGGACACACACTTCTAGCAGAACACAAAAAGCACATTATGTGAGGCTTTAGTCTCGCGGAGGACACAATGTGCGAGTACAGAGACTGCAGCAACCACACAGTTACTCTAGCATCGCACTTCTGCCTCGTTTACTCAGGCTCACAAGTAATCAGCGGTGCATTTCATCATCACATGGTCAGGTCACCTCCGCCTGTAATAGACTGTACTGAGGTGATGGTCCTTAGTGGATAAGGTAGGACCGTGCGAGTAGAGGTGCGCAGGGGGAAACTACGAAAGTGGTAGGTTGGAAGGGGTGTTCCATAGGAATACCGCATAGCCAAGTCCCGAAGGCACCCCTCATATATCTAGAAACCCAACCTCTACAACAACCTGGGCTTTTTGCACATGTTTACACACCCTGCCACTGATCGGACAATGGCAGCAATGTGACTGCACCACCTACAGAGAAGAACATGGGGACTTTGCCTGCAGGGGAAGCCCCCTTTCTATGTTCTTTGAAAGTCGAGCTCAGGCAGAGGGGGCTCCCTGACGACTATTTCGACAACGGGTTGCGGAGGCTCAACGCAAAAATTGGAGGGTCCTGGACCCCATGGGTACGCTGTTTCACTGCATGGGTCAGTTGGTAGACTAGCTGGAGGATACTTTTTGAGTTTTTTGAGTTCTACGGGCTTCGTACCGGTACCAGTTCCTCACTTACCACCCTTCTTTCCAGTCCCACCCTCTGTACTGGCGTTTCAGCTTTTTGACTTGCCACGTAGATTGTTTTTAGTGCGTTAGTCCGCTATTACTTAGTATATAGTCTGTTCTTCCGTCCTTTTCTATACCTTGCGCATCCCCTGAGGAATCCGGTACTGGCGAGCCGGCAGAAACATGTGTCGGGTGTTTCGCCAGTCGTGTCTATCGTTCATGGTGACATCACTTGGTGTCATCTACTTTTGCATCTGTTTGGCTCTTTATTGATATATCTTAAGAGCTGTTGCGCGCAGTTTTATTTTCTGTCTATTCTCGTCTATGGCCCTTGCTTTCTTCACTTTTCGGCCTTGATGCATGTATCCATACGATTGGCCTTCGCCATTCGTGTGTGCTTTATGACTTCCACATCTGCGATACACACGTAGGAAGCGACGGGGGATGATACCCCGACTGTGTGACTACGCTCTGCATCTACTCATCTACTCTTCTGCTCTTTTCCTTCTTTATCTCTGCTTTTTGCACTCGGTAATCCAGATGGGGCTTTGCTGCCCAATGGGGGTAACTTTGGCGGACGCTCTAGTCCGTCTTTGCTTGGATCATAGTTGGTTGAGGATGTACAACCCATGGGTATGCCATCACTATTGGCTGCCTGGCCACTTCATACGGGAGTGTCAGCTGTGGGATATTCCTAATGCAGCAGAGCTGGTGGCAGGATCTGCATCAGGTTTGGGATCGTGCTTGGATAACAGCGGTATTCTTCCAGCGCCAGCTTCGAACGCTATTGTGCCTTATCAGGGCAGCCAAGCTGCATCAACTTCGTCAAACAGTTCCGGCGGCGGCGGACACAGTAATGGAGGTGGTGGGTACAACAACAACTGAGGTGGATACAACAGATATGGAGGTCATAATAATAACAATCGGTATTCGAGGCCAAGAAATTACAACTACGGAGAGAGGAATCAAAATGAAAAGATCGACAAGCTTTACGATCTGTTTCAAGATCAGATGGAGGAAAAGAAAGAACGGCAGCGACAGGAGGAGGAGCAAAAGCGGAAGGAGGCAGAAGAGGAGAACATTCGTCTAGAGAAAGTGGATAAGGATTCCCTCATCAATCGCATGGGGGAGGAGGTGAGGTCTAATACGAAGCTTGTCTGCGAGACCGTATTGGGAAGGAAGTTCGATCTTCCTGCAGTGCTGGATCCGAAGACTCAGGAGATCGCCAGACTGCAACAGGAAGTCGAGGATCTCAATACTCAAGCCACTGGAGCAAAGAAGTTGGACGATGTGGAGAGATTACGCAAGGAGAAGGAGGAACTCTTGGGATTACAAGAGCAGAAGGCACTCGAGCAAGAGACTGAAGATCTGAAAGGGAAAAGAAAGCTGACAGAGGAGGGTGCATCCAAGAAGACTGAGCTCGGCATTCTCAAGGAGGTTGATAACCTACGGGGACATCATGCAGCCCTCGAGAAGAAGAACGAGGCGCTGGCGCGGCTCAAGCATGCGAACAAGCACCTTGAGAAAGAGTTTGTCAGCCTAGTAGGTGGTCTCCCAAACATCGGGGAAGAGAGCTGCGGATGTCGTGACAGAGAAGAGCCCACCTGTTGAGCCCCCTTCGGGGAAGGCCAAAGTAGATCCCACTACCACCATCATGTACACCCTGAAGGATGTGGAATCGTTTTGTCGCGCTTACAATGATGCTTTGGAGGGGAAACGAGTGGGTATGAGGCGGAGTTCTTCAAGGAGCGACTTCTCAAGAAGCTTACCCCTAGTGCTCGGACCAAGAGGCCAACGTTGGCCAAGTGTACTACTCCGCGTAACTTACGAAAATCTCTCAATCAAGTGGTGACTGACATTGATTCTGCCGAAGAGGACGATGAGGGGGAAGATGGCGACCAGCTAACGAAGGAAGCCGAACAGCGTAGCAAATTGGTGGATAAGCGGCGTAAGGAGCTGCACCTCGCGAAGAAGTCGGAGTTGGAGCTGATATGTAACGAGGAAGGCATCAGCTACATCAAGATCGAACAGGCGCGAACAAATATCGTTGAGATTCATGCGCGTAGGGATTTCGATGAGCTTCGGGAGGAGATGAAGAATTATCTCGAGGACGAGGACAGGGGAGATGCACAGGCTGAGGAAGATGCTCAGTATGCCACGTCAGCGGAAGAGGTTGCTGAAGATTAGGTTCGCGCCCTGAGTGCAACTGATTTATGGCATTTCGCTGTCTCTTGTTGTGATTTTCAACATGTTAACGGAAATTATATCTTCTTTGAAACAATTTCTGGGATTTTGTGTCGTATTGTAATTCTTTTAATTCTTAATAATTGTATTATATGGGGTTTGAACATTCGTGAGTTGCTCGCCAATCTGATTGAATCTAATTACGATTTTTTTTCAATTGTCCTGGTCCGGTTGTTTATATACTTCTGTCACATTCGTGCAAGCACTCTTACGTGGGATGCACTAGTAGGAGTCTGAACACTCGTTGGAAGGAGCATGTCTGTCGCGCTATTTGACGTAGTAGGGTCTACCGCAATACGAAATTGTATCGCTGGTTCAGACGTGTGGGGCAATGTATGTACGTAGCTATTCCTATTTATGTACCCAGCTCTCTTTCTGATTTGTAAAACTGAAAAATTCTTCATCCGTACTCTATCCCCGTCTTTGAACGTTTCCCTTCGTTGGCACTCTCCAGTGTCTCAACGTAGGCATAGGCCCGGTAAGAATGAACGCCTTCGGCGTAAACTCTCCCCCTCTCTTCTGTTCTAGCACAAAATTAATCCTCTTTCCCTTGTCTTTCGCTCCTTTCTTGGTACCATCAGCACTAGCCTTATCACCATTCTTCAATCTGCACTTGATTCCTGTTGTTCTTCTATCCATATAACTTGTCTCTCTGGATCTTGCTTTGCTGATGGCTGGAAAACTCTCCGTTGCCTCTTCGGTTCCTCGGTAATTTCCTGTCCTGACCTGTCCACTGCCTGCCTCCTTGCGTCACTATCGGGATTGGTTCAAGCCTGGTAGGACGATCTCCTTTGACTCTATTTCTCGTTTCTGTGTTAGGTCACTCGCTCTGAAAGCATCATTAATCAAGCTCTCAAGTTCACCTTCCACCAGGAAGTGTCTCGCTCGATGGGACTTAGGTGATTTTCTCTCCGGTTATGACGCTGTCCGTACTTTTAAGTTAAGAAATCGCGTACTTCACTAAGACTTGTATTAGCACATGCGTTCCAAAAAAAGTTTGGCTTAAGTTTGGCTGCGAGGTTAGTCATTCACATACGATATGATGGTAGGTTGATCAAGGGATTCAAGGCCGAGATTCGTAAGGTATGTAAGGTAGCTATCCTATCTCGTTTTGATACCTCTAGGTTTCCTAGACATTATCTTGAATATGTGTGTAAGCGCTTTCGTCTAGTGTGGATTCGTAATAAGTCTGTAGGTGATGTCTTGCATAACTTTAGGCGGTTCTTACAGATAGGTGAGCCAGTTTGTAACCGTCCTTCTTTGTCTAAAGAATTTCCACGATGTGATGGTCACATTTCATTCCGTGCATGTGATTCGGAGTTCCTTCCTGCTTCTGTGAAGAATTCGAAGAATCTGAATTACCCTGATTACGCCACTGATAGAAGTAGCTTATCCAATCAAATCTCCCACTCTCTTATAGACTTCTTTCGCGTTACGCCGATTCCTTGTTGCCCTCAAGCTGATTTCTAAAATTGCTTTTCTTCTCATAGTCTTCTGTCCTCTTCATTCATCCGCTACAATGACATCCGATATGCAGTTGATAAGCTCGGCGGACTGGTTGCTTGCCCTATTGATCACAATTTTGGTGATATACTTTTGTTGTCCTGAGTTGTACGTGCAAGGGCTCAGGCTACTATTCAATAATAACGTAGGATTCAATAATAACGTAGGGTTCTCACGTATTGAACAAGGAGAATCGCAAGTGTTGGATGCATGTCAACGTGAGTATAGCAAGTTGAAGTTGCAGGTATTGTCTCCATCAGACTCCATGGAACTCTAGTGGACGGTTAGGCCGGGCATATGTACTGCCCAAGCACAACGATATAGCAAGATGGCAGCCGATCTGTCCGTTTTGGTCTGAACCTTCTCGGAGCGCGTCTAGGCTAGATGGCGGCCGATCTGTCCATCATGGTCTGAACCTTCTCGGAGCGCGTCTAGGCTAGTCTCTCTTTGCGTCAATGAGTTGCTTAGGTGTTTGCCATCTACCTCTCACTTTAATCTGCGCAGCACTGATCTTCTTACCTCCTTCCTCTCTAAAGTCAACAAATCCGTAGCTAAGGACGATCTTCTTATGGCTTGCAGTTATGACGTCAAAGAAATGTTCTGTTCTTTACCACATTCAACTATTATTTCAGTCGTAGAATGGATTGTAAGCTTGTTCGGAGAAAAAGGTTTTGGAAAATTTATTGCCAGAAGCGGAAGCAAGCATGTGAGATTTAAGCTCGGAAGCTTGTAGCTGGGGTGGAAATCTGTCAGGTTTTCTTCTGTTGTTAGGTTCATCTCTTTTGATTTGAGTAATACTTACACAATGGCAATGGGTCAGGTGCTGAAACAAAACTTAGGAATCCTCATGGGAAAGTCTTCAGGTCCTGCCCTTGCCTGTCTCATTTGTGCTCACAACGAATCTTTGTTCCTCAGTTCTCACAAGTGGTTATGGTTTTCTTATAAATTGAGGTGAAAAATGGGGGGTCGGTTAACCTTTTCTCTCAGCTCTTTGGGTAAGGACGTTGCTTTAGTGTTTGGTTGTAGATTAGAGTTGTTGCACTCAGGGTTTTTCCTGTCTATGGCTCTTGCTTTCTTCACTTTTCGTCCTTGAGGCATGTATCCGTGCGATTGGCCTTCGCCATTCGTGTGTGGTTTATCGCTTCCACATCTCAGTGTCACCTTCCTGACTCTCAGTAGGACACCATCCTGGGAAACCACAGCCAAGGGAACGGGCTTGGAAGCATCGGCGGGGGTAAAAACAAGACCCTGTTGAGCTTGACTCTGGTTCCACTACTCTTTGAAATGAAGTTGAGAGGTGTAGAATAACTGGGGGCTTTACTTTTTGTTTTTTTTGTTTTTTTTGTTTAAAGAAGACCAATCTTTATTAAAATCCAAGCCGGGAAGCGGGCCTGGCGTCCCTTGCAAAAATTCGCCGCAGCCCTGAGCTGAGCAAGGCTCTCCGGCCAGGCAGAGCTCATGCCACGACTGTGTCAAGGGTGAAAGTCCTTCTCTTGGTCTCTTCTACTGTATTCCAACTTTGTTACCAATTCCTATAATTGCCTGAACTATCCTAATATAAGAATCATGAACAATCCTAATAGTCCAATCAACAAAACATGAAACCCAACTCACCGTATGCCCTATCCAGTTGAAAACAAAAACACAAATCCAAAGAGTAATAGGTCCTATTCAATCAAAAAAATCGAACAAATCTCTCAATAGCTAACTAAGAACCTAATTACTATCTTAGATGGAATAACCCCGTAATTACAATCATAGGCGGAGCCCCTAATTAAGCTGTTCAACAAGGAAACAAAAGTTAACGAAAAACCTAAATCAGATGACAATTATCGGCCGCACAAATCCTACCTAACCCAACCTCTCACACACACACACACACACACACACAGGTTTTAAATAAGGACCACCCCGGGAAAAGTGCATGGGTCCTGGAGACCATCTCACGCAAGTGTGTACATGCCATGCATCGTTCTCCCACACACAACGAACAGTAGTCTGATAATAGACAAAGGTAGAGAAGATGAGAATCGAGTTTCACAGCTTATATTATCAAAAATATGAATACAAAGTGTTTCAAAGTTTCCCTGAGTCCAGCGCTCATCAGCGCAACACCAATATCTTGCCAACTCATCAATATGCCTTCCAGTGAATCAGTGCTACCCGTGCAGATAGTCTCCAAGTCATCAATGTGGTCACCACTCATCAATGCCACCTCTGCAGATCACATCCAACTCAGGTAAGTATCTTCCATAGCCAACCTTGAATGAACACTCTCAGCCTCAATCCCTTCCTCTTATGATGCATATACACTCTTCAATACTCATGAGGATCTACTCTGGATACTACTCATAGCTACATACTAACCCTCTACTTCTAATGCCAACTCGCTGGGCAGCTATGGCTGCATCACTTCCAGCATACAGGCATCTTCCTTCCTCCAGCGCATCTTCTCCTCCAGCGCTGCTTCTCCTGACTCAGCGCACAAGTGCACCAGCACTTCCACGCATTGGCAGCCAGTGGAGATCTGG